GGGGCTCTGAGCACCCTGGTCTGGGTGAAGATGTCCCTGCCCATGGCAGGGGGGGGACTGGGTGGCCTTTGGAGGGCCCTTCCCACCCAAACCATTCCGTGATTCTATGATTCTGTAATCTCCTTATCTGTATATCCAGTGTTCTCTCCTTCAAGAGTTAACACGCAGATATTCTAGGTGGCAGACTAAGCAGAAAATATCTTTAAATAGTCTCTTGCAGATGCACATGTATACATAGCCTTCCAAGATGCACTTTATTTTAGTAACTTCAGAAGCAATTACTATAATTTCTCTCCTCTGTCACTCTGCTTCTTACAGATTGCTGTCGTGGCTGTGATGTGTAAACCACACAGGTGTCCACACATTAACTTCACAGGCAACATATGTGTGTAAGTATGACAGCTTAGATGACCTAAGAGGTCTGTTTTCCAGTATTTCTGTATAAATCTAGTATTGCAGTAGCATTGTATTGGGGACAGGCTTCCTTTCTGCACAAGCGCTAAGTTGCAGATTGCTGATACCTGCACGTTACGCTAAAAAGTCTACTTGGTTTCAGTTTTTCTTCGAGGAGGAAACCCTTTTGTTTCATGGGCCGAGCCCTACTTACCTTAGTAGATGCACACTTTCGTGAATATAGTAACCAGGGGAATACATTAATGATCAAATATAAGTTGTATTACTGCGGCAGGGTGTGCAGGTGCCGTGTGCATATGGCTGGGTACGTAAGCAGCTTGGAGAAGACTTATTACAGCAAAGAAAGAGGGCTCAATCTGAAAAGTTTGAAAACCACTGAACTGAGACCCACCTGAGGAGGTGCAGGTGTTGTCTGCAAAGACTCGCTCGGTGTGACAGTCTGGCTCTGCCTGGCGCTGGAATGAAACGAGAGCACAGATGGAAGGGAAGGCCTCCAGCTGCCAAGAGCTCGTGGTGTTAAGGGAATAGCTTCCGAGTTGGATTTGAACTGAGAAACCCAAGCTGGGTTTACCTTGAAGTATGTTACCTCTGTTTGACTTAAGAGTCTGTGCACCTGCAATCTCATCTGTTTTTTTTCTAGCCATATCAGTTCATCTATTTCGAAACATTGCTTCTCTCCCGCCTTGTCACTCCCAAAACATGTGTGTATTTCACTACCAGCTGGCTCCATTCTTGTTTTTGCATGAGCAGCTATTCTGTTTGAGCTGTTCCAGGTAATGAAATGCCTTCAATTGGACTGCACAACTTTTGCCAGCAAATTAATTTGGCCATGGTAATTTGGTAATTAATTTTATAATGGTGACGAATGACTTGGGCTGAGTTTGCAGGGCAGGCGGTGAGGAAACTAATCAATTATACTGCGAACCGAGTGTGTCTGATTTGATAGCGATGGCATTATTTTAGTCTGTGCATTTGAGATCTGCTCACTGGAAGTAACAACACGCTGACTGCTCTATTACCTTGTCTGTTGGAGGTGTTCAGTGCCCACGGTTAACGTTGAAGAGGTTGTCAGCCCTCCTGTCTCAGGTCGTCTTTGAGCACAGAACGACTGTAGGTCGGTCATTAATCCCACAGCCCTCAAAAGAAAGCTAAGGACCCTTCAGAATAAATTTATATTCCTTTTAATTACTACCTGCCGTGTACCGTTCCTCTCCTGGCTAGCAGTCATCCTGCGATAGCCACAAATCTGTCTTGCTGTGTCACAGAATGAGTTTCAAACAAGCCTCTAGATGCAGAAACTGTAGTTCAATACCAAACTGCCATACAGTTATCTGCAGGAGATGGACTGTATTCTTTTGAAGCAGTCTTAGAATGCTGTATTCATTAAATAGCATGTTCCTAAGTTCAGAAAACAAATGTAAATGAGCTTTCTCACCATCCAGATATTTAAATTCTATAAATTTCTGGAAAAGCAAGGCAGATTGTGTAACAGGATGATGTCTCTATTTTATGTCTTTCCATGCCAAATGAAAATCATATTTTACATCAAATGAGATGATGTTTTTAACAGAATGGTGGAAAATATCTAAATTGTTTATGATTGTATAATTGCTTTTTAAAATGTAATAATTTGTATGTAACTTGCTCCAAAACTGTATGGCAGCTCCCTAAAATAATGCCATGTTCCAGAAATATGCTCACAGTACATTTTGCTTCTGGTAGGTCTTATCAAGTTGTTTTATGTGGATGTAGTCATTTGACAAGTCCAAACTGTTTTTTGACATCCCATTCTTATTAAAATTAAATGAAACAACTGTTCTGCACCGTACACTTAGCGTTTGTGAACACACATAGGCTCAGTTCCTCTCAGTGTTACCGGATACCACAGAACTGCTGTCTTCAGCGTGTGCGTTTGGGTCTGTACCTGTATTTATATCGGGTGATGCAGAAACACAGGAATTCACTCATCTGTCCTGTGCTCTCAGCTGACCGGTCGTGAGCCAGCTTTAGTCTAGAAGCTGTATTGCAGCATTAAGGTACTGTAGTGCTTGAGCTAATAAGGCTTTCCTTTTGGGGATTTGGTTTTGCCTATATAGAATCATGGAGTCATTAAGGTTGGAGAAGACCCTTAAGATCATCAAGTCCAACCGTTAACCCAGCACTGCCAAGCCCACCACTAAACCATGTCCCTCAGCACCACATCTCCCCGGCTTTTAAATCCCTCCAGGGATGGGGACTCAGCCCCTGCCCTGGGCAGCCTGGGCCAGGGCCTGACAGCCCTTTTGGTGAAGAAATTTTCCCTAATATCCAACCTAACCCTGCCCTGGCGCAGCTTGAGGCCATATGAGAGCTCCTGAATGCCAGGAGAGCGGTTGGTATGTTGCTTTGGTCAGGATGTCTTGAATTTGTGTTCCCCTGCGTTTCTGATGAGAGATGGGCTAGTTAGAGCAGCATCTGCCCAGCCTGCACCCTCTGTGTACCCGTACCTCAGACAGATTAAGTCGTTGCAGTTGAGTTTGATGCCTGTTTTCTGTCTTTTAATATTTGCAGATACTGCCCAGGTGGACCTGATTCTGATTTTGAATATTCAACACAGTCCTACACCGGATATGAGGTATTACTTCAGTCTGCCATAAAGCATTGCCTACGTGCTCTATAAACTTGGGTTAGGCTGTTCGTTATTTCTGCAAATTCACCCATGTTGCAAGAATAAAAAACAAAAGCAGACTTCATAAACTAAATCTAAAGCAGCTCAACTACAAGACTGGAAATTCTTCTCAGTTATTGTAGCAGTTGTTTCTTTCTCCTCACCTTGCTGCTGTTCACACTGTTACACGTGTAATACGCGGTAGAGCAGGAGTGAGCAGCCTGTGGTTCTGAGCAGGGCAGGAGGAGCGTCATGGCTGTTCCCCATGACTTGCTGGTGCGGGAACGGCTGTTAATCTGAATCTCCAGCTGTGGAAGGCGTAAGAGTAAGAGCAGTTGAAGGTGGCATTGCTGTCTTCCATGGGATACCGCTGCATGCAGTTCGTTGAAATGAATGCCGGCTGTGATTCCTGCAGCAGTTATCAATCTGCGTCAAAATTTTCCTAACTAACCAGTCCCGCGGAAATGTGCAGTTTTACTTGTGGCTCAATACGGATTTAAGGGAAGGGTATGGAGAAGGCAGAGCCAGACTGCTCCTCCCAGCTGCCCAGCGGAAATATGAGAGGCAACGAACATGAGGTGGAATGTGGAAAATTGTGCCTTAATATAAGAAAAGAATGTTTTAACGTGACGGTTGTCAAACACTTGAGTAGGGATCTAGAGAGGTTTGGGGAACTCATTCTAAAAGATAGTCAAGCACTGACTGGACACAGCCCTGAGCCTCCTGCCCTAACTTCAGTCCTGTCCAGCCTACAGGACCCTGCAGATTAACAAAGGTTAAGCTCTGGAAAAAAGCCCATTATTTAGCTGTTAGTGCCTCTGAAATTACACCTATGCCCTTATATGTCTGTATCTGCAGTGATATCTCGCTAAATATATATAAGCAAAATAGCACTCTCCTGTTGTATGCCGAAAGTTTAATAGCAAAAGATCTTGTTGTGACTAAATTATTGTGACTCATAGCTATCGTACAGGTATAAAGTAGTAAGATGAGGTAAAATACAAACTGGATTATTTTGGTAAACAGTGATGCAGCATCCTTTTAGTACGGATTTTGTCTCTTACCTCTTTTTTAGTGGCTTGAAACTTGTCCCATTAGTGCAAAGTAGGAAAATCCTGTGTATATTTATATTACTTTATAATTCATGTTGTTTTGGACATGTTGTGTTCATTTGTTTAATACTAACAGCATGTAGGAGCTATGCATGATTTAAAGAGTCCTCATCCTTCAGAGCTTTTAATATAACAGATATGAAATACCAAACAAATCCAAGATACAAAAGATACTTGAAAACCTTATCTTAGAGTGTCATTAATAGGCTTACATCTGCTAGTAATATAAAAAGTAAGCTATTAAGGATTTCAGTTGAAAGAATATGTTTAGGTGAAAGAATATTTGAAGTTTAGACTGAGTTCTAGACAGCACTCCTTGGATGACTGTTGTGCAAGTGAAGAAAAACTGAAATGAACAGGAGAGAAAAACTTGTATTTTGAAAAACATTTTGTTTTGTGATTTCCCCCCCCGATATTTCTTGACACTCACTATGGAGATTCTTTATCCATCCTGCTCTAATGAACTAAAAATTTGAAAAATTGTGTCATTCTCTTTGTTATAGTACCATCTAAGGATAAAAAAATGTGTTAAGGAGCCAAATTCAAATTTACAGTTGGATGGGTTCTCTGGTTGCGAGTCTGAAGACTATAGGGTCCATTTGAAGACTTTAGCATTTCAGTGCTAAACATAGTCTTTTTGTTCTTTTTCACTGTGGTTTTTTTTGGTTTTTTTTTAAAGTTTACAAAATGGATCTCCTTGTGTTTTTTAGCCAACGTCCATGAGGGCCATTCGGGCCAGATATGACCCCTATCTCCAGACAAGACACAGGGTGGAACAGGTAAATTTTTACAGTGAAAGGGGAATGCGTTGTGATTGTGAAGAAAATAATGATAATGCTTCTAATTGCCTGAACTGGTGGCTGAAAGGGTTGTGATCAGCAGCACTAAGTCCAGCTGGAGGCCAGTGATACAACCCAGCTGTCAATACTGGGGGCCGATAGCGTTTAACCTCTCTGTTAACGACCTAGATGTTGGGACGGAACACACTGTCAGCAAGTTTGTAGATGATGCAGAATTGGGAGGAGTGGATGATAGACCAGAGGATTGTGCTGCCTTTCAGATTGACCTGGACAAGGCTGGAGAAATGGGCTGACAGGAACCTCTTGAAGTTCAGCAAAGGGAAATGCCAAGTCCTGCCTTTGGGGAGGAACAACCCCAGGCACCAGTACATGCTGGGGGTTGACCAGCTGGAAAGCAGCTTGACAGAAAAAGGCCTGGGGGTCTTGGTGGACACCAAGTTGACCATGAGCAGTGTTGCGGCCTTGAGGCAAAGGCGGCCAGCAGCCTCCTGGGCTGCATTAGGATGAGTGTTGCCAGCAGGTCAAGGGAGGAGATCCATCCTCCGGCCTCAGCCGTGGTGAGGGCCCATCTGGAGAGCTGTGTCCAGTTCTGTGCTCTCCAGAAGACAGACATGAACATACTGGTGCAAGGCTAGCAAAGGGCCGCTAAGACAATGAAGGGACTGGAGCATCTGAGGAGACGTTGAGAGAGCCAGAACTGTTTAGGCTGGGGAAGAGAAGGCTTGGGGCAATCATACTGATGTGTATAAATACCTGGTGGGAGGCGCTAAGAAGATGGCTAAGGCTCTTCTCAGTGGTGCCCCATGACAGAACGCAACAGGCACAAATTGAAACGTGAGAAATTCCCAAAACATCATGAAACAATTTTTATTTGTGAGGGTGACCGAGCGCAAGACCGGGTTGCCTAGAGAGGTTGTGCAGTCTCCGTCCTGTGAGATACTCAAAGCCTGTCTGGACACAGCGCCGAACAAACTGCTGTGGCTGATGCTGCTGTGAGAAGAGAGATTGGACTAGGTGATCTCCAGAGGTCCCTTCCAACCTCATCATTTCACGATTCTGTAATTCGACGTTAGCCTGACTTGATCCCCATAGAAAAATTATTTTTAGGCCTTTTAACTGTTTAACAGTAATTTCCATTAGATAAATGACAAGTTTTGAACCTCTTAAAGATGTCATCTGTTCTGAACAATACCTGATTACTGATAGGAGACCCTATTACAATAAAATTGTACTGAACTTTTGTGGCAGTTGCTAGTTCTTGGTAATTACTTACATGGAGAATTTAGTACTGAAACAGAGGTGTTCCTACCAAAATGATCTTTTTTTTGAGGGGTCTCCGCTGGAGAATTAAAAGATCTGAAGAGTTTCTCAATCCTGTTCTGCTTTGACTGGTTTCCTGTTTATCTCCGAATCCATTGGAAAATTTTCCATGAATTCAGGGTAGTCCTTTTCTCCCACAAGATTTTAAGGAAAGTTAGTTCTACATGGATCGAAGCAGATGTGAGGAAACTTTTCCTACTGGCCATATCTAAGCTAGCTTCAAACTGGAACCAGCGTAACTCCCATCAGCAAGATGCTAGGCTCAAGTAATTCTGCTTTGTCAAGAAAACTGGTTATGCTGGGCTCAATATCTGTACTGATGCTGGGCTCAGTATCTGTACTGTGTTCTTGCAGTAGAAAAATAATTTTTGAGGTTTTTTTGGGGGGGGGACATTACAAGAAATCTGTACAAAAGTATTAATAGTTTGTCATTCATAAAAGATATGACAAGTAAAGAAGGAAATGCAGTGTAGGAATGTCAGGGTTTTCAGAGAAGTCCTTTAGATAAGTTCCTGATCAGTAATTTTTTCTCTGGTACTTTTAATTTTACAGCTGAAGCAGTTGGGCCACAGCGTGGATAAAGTAGAGTTCATTGTGATGGGTGGAACATTCATGGCTCTGCCTGAAGAGTACAGAGATTACTTCATCAGAAACCTTCACGATGCCTTATCAGGTCACACTTCCAATAATGTAGCAGAGGCCGTCAGGTAAGCATCGTGGTTTTCTTTAACGTAATTATTTAAAAGTGTTCTTTAACTGATGTACGAACGGAAAATACTGAAGACAAAAATTCAGACCTCTTTTTTTTTTTTTTTTTTAAAGGCAATATTTATCCAAATACGTGTTTAGGCACAGAATATTTATAGCTCAACTTGCAGCATTGCTCTGGGTACTGCATAGCACCAGCAGAAGATAGGGCCATGGTTTATCTATTTTCTCATGTAGGAAATGCTAAGCTGCTTCTAATTTCTTGGCGTTCCATCTGGATTTCTACCTTTTATGCCTCATCACCTTGATTTGGAGTTGTGACGAATCACATTGCCATGGGATTTATTTCCTTTAGCTGGGAAGGGGAGCTGATCCTGGCTTGGAGGGAGGCCAGACGTCAGCTCCCGTAAGGGATGACTCACCCGCGAGAGCGTCACTGCTCAGGAGCTCCGAGCCCCTTGCAGTCTGAAACGCAGTTACCCTTGCGGTATTTTGGTGTGACAAGGAGATGCTCCTCTTCCCATTTTACGGTTGATGAACTGAAAATCAGAGGATGATCTATTTGCCTGTGCTTTGGGTCATTAAATACATAACTTCCCAGTGCATTTTGCAGCATAAAACTGGGAAGAAAAATGGGAAAGATTTGATGTTTTGGAGCTGTTAAAACTAGGTGAGCATCCCTACTGACAGTTTTAGTTTGCTACCTCGTCGTCATTCAGTACAGTGGATTTTCCTTGATACCATTATCATCTACTAAAGAAAGTGGTTTTAAAACTGAGCAGGACTAGCCCTTGTCTAGCTTCGTGGCTACCTTCGTATTTTGAAGCTGTAAGTTCATTTGGCTTTCCTCTGGAGGGCAGCAAACGCTTCTGCTGGTTTTCTTTGGGTTTTTTTTTTTTTTCTTGTCATTCAAAGACCAGACAACAAAAAATGCTATGCTCTCTTTCCAAGTGGATTTTATAAGACAAAATCACAAACAAGTTGGGAAAAGAATTGCTTTTCTTTTGCTCCACTGCCCTGGTTGTGAGCACAGAAGGACACAACTCATTATGGAAGAAGGGTGGAATTTGCAGGTTGTCTATCACTGTGCTTATACCTACGTCAGGCGATTCAGGATGTGGCTATTCCATATTTTTTTCTGCTGCAGGTGTCTAGCTAATTTTACTGGACCCAAAAATGCTTTTGGAGTAGCCTGTCGTTTGCACTGCAGATTATTGAGGAAACTATTTACGACACAGAGCGTGTGACCGAGTCATTTTAAGTGCATGCAAAAATGAAGTGACTCTGAAGTCAGTGTGCTGCCTTGCAAGCATGCAGATCAAGCGATGTGAGAAAACCTGCACTGACAATTTGTGGTTTTTTTCCAGTAGATAAATAAAGGTTTATATTTTTAACATAAAATTCATGTTAAATGCTTAGTAAATGGAGGTATGTGGGAGTTATTCAAGTTGCACTTCCTAAATATTCTAGAGGTGAGAAAATTGGGTTCAAGATGAATCAGACTTTTTACTTTTTGTGCTTCTTGCATTTAGTTTTTGTACCGTGTCACTGCGGTACTGTTCTGAGATGGCCAATGACACTTGGAATAAACAGTCAAGGTTGAATTTATTTCTCTTTGTACCTGAGGATTCAGCCCTTCTCCCTCACTGCTTCCATCACCAGAGGCCGTGCTATGTGGGGAATACTGACAGTATTTTACTTGTTCTATGTTGTGAATACTGCATTAGCCGGTAACCTGAGATCTGGTCTCTCTCACCCCTTCCTTTGAATGTGATTATGGTAGCCTTGAATTTTTTCCTCCTTGTGCAAATCATTAGTTAATTTTATATTTTGTACAGTGATTCCCTAATGGGGAAAAAGACCTTCAGCCAGGATACTGCATAAAAAGTCTTTCTGAGCATGACCTTTGATTAAACCAGTGCAGCATCTATCTGTATAGGCTTCAGTCCACCTAACTGTGTACACGTTTTTCCCCCCTTTTTTCCAGTCATTTCTTTATTTTGTCCTTAAACTTGAGCTTTGCTTCTACGTCCAATGCTGCCTTTCCAGTGATAGTGATATGCTGACCTATACGGTCTGAACTGTGCAGCACTGAAGGGCTCATCAATCTGGCATCCTCCTCTTGACGTAATTTTCAACTTTCTTCGTATAATACTTTGTCTTGATCAGCCCACTGCAGCTTCTGGTCCCAGTTAATCTGATAAAAAGGCTGTGACTCTGTGCAGTTTCAACCAGTACAGTACGACCGTAGCCTGCCATGGAGGTATAGACTGTTCCTTACCAAGAATTGGGACTGCAATTCTGACTAAATCAATAAGTCTTCAAACTGTGTTGGCCCTTGGACTCCAGCTGATGTTCTGAGTTGGCTTCTGGCTTTCTTACAGATTCAGAGTCTTATGGTGAATCCAGCCCCGTGGTAAATCACAAAGCTGCAAACCCAGCAGTGCCTATATGAGAGAAATGGTGTGGGACTGGGGCTGATCTGTCTCGGGGAAGCGAGGCACTGCTCTAGCCAGCTGCCGCCGAATAAATAAGTCTGAAACTGTGGCTTTGTAATCAGTGGAGAGAGCAGGATCTTCACGGGATGGCTCCGAGCGTGTAAGCTAGGTTGCTGCTTTAAACTGTTTCCAGGTAAACTGGGCAGCTGACTTGGGGGGTGTGAAGGACTCCCTTTATGCCTCTATTTATAAAGCGGTGGGAGATCCTTTTTGCATGAGTGGACCTGGAGCGAGTTAAGATTGTGGGTTTTATGGATGCATGAACAGAAGATGAGTGTAGAAGTGACCGTATTTACATACGTGAACTCGCCAACCAAAAGTGTGATTTTTAAGAAGATAAACTGCCAGGCTTTCATAGCGACTCTGTTGCGAGTGGAGGAAGGAGATGACTTCCCTGAGAAAGCGTTGCTGCTGTTTAGTATTTCTGTAGCACCTCCCTGTTGAGGTAATAAACACTTTTTCGGCTCTTCAGACAGAAGTCTTTGCTTGAGATGCTTTGGTGTGCTTGAGAAATAAGTTGGCCAAGGAATAAGTGAAGGATTGCAGAGCCAGAGGGGATCTTTGTTTTGTAGAGAGCGTGCAAGGAGACTGAGAAGTTTTAATTTTTATCTGCTGCGAACACCACTTAGGAGACTTCAGTGCACTTCTGGATACCTATGAAGCAAGGTTGTAGACGTGGTGATAAGCTTCCCTTCTTTAGGAGGAGATTTGTAATTACTGCTAAAGAATCACTATAAGAAAGATTTTTCTTTTTGTACGCTGGAGAAATACGTCTTCCTCTGGGAGTTGTTCCCATCGAGCCACAGTGTTGACTTGACGGCTGATTGCGACTGCCTTTGCTCTTTCACGAGGACAGTGAACCAAGAAGGTGTAAAATCCACATGCAAATGAGAATTGCTGCTCCCCATCATTTCGCTCCTCTCACCTGACCCATGAGTCATTAGAGGTGCTGGGCATATTTAACTGCCACCGTGACTCACCACTTCGAGGGCTGAGCACCGCTTCGCTGAGCCAGGATCTGACTGTTAATTAGTGCATGAGGCCAAAGGAGAACTTGCCTGTGTTGAGAAAGGCAGGTGTCAGAAAGATCCCCCTAAGCTACACACCCGTGCGGCTCCTTGGACGGCAACATCAAGCCTGGCTTCTCTCAGTGTAGTTAAAAATGCACAGGAATTATTTTTTAAATTTTATTTTAACAGTATCGTGCGTTGTCTGATGTTCGATCTGATCGTAAATCACATTGTTAATGGCAAAGTAAGAAGGGGATAAAATTGCTGGAACCTCATGTTCTGCAATTCAGGTATCTTGTGTACCTGATATTTATGTGACAATATTCAGGTGCATAGCAGACATAATAGCTATTTCTGTAATAGGTCTGTAATCCAAGACTGATTCAGCTTTACATCCACTCCTCAGTCAGTAGTCTCTTCAAAGGCGCATTTTCCACTGCCGTCGTGCATTGGAGCCCAGAACTTGCAGAAGCGAGTACCGTTGACCGCGTTTGATTCCTCGTGGAGAAATTGCAGCTCCTAATACCGAACGACCCCGTGAGACTGCCTTTTTCTCAGGCTTGTCATCGATTGCTTTTGCCAAGTGTCCTTTTGTGTTTCCACCATTAGCTGTCTCCTCCGCTGAGCTGGTGAGCGGGCAGCAATGCTTCCCGCTGCCACAAATGTTTTCATGATGCACGAGGAAATCTCCTTTAGGTATCCCAAAAGCCATATTGATCTTTTGGCAAGCGGTAAGCAGATAGATCCAGCTACTTTGGAGCCTGCGCTGAAAGCGAAGACACAGGTTTTAAATAACCACTGCTTAGAGCTGGATTATTGTGTGTCCAGTTTAAGGCCTCTTAGCCCATCCGAGGAAGAAAAAAAAACCCCGAGCACTGGCAGTTCCAGCAGCAGTTGGTTTGATATGTGGAGCTCCTGATGCATTTTAAAACCCAGCTGGAAATCACTTTTCTTGAACATGCCAGATCAGAGCAACCCATGAAAAATGTGGTTTGTGTGGTTATCAGATGATGTGTTTTCTGGAAAGATCATTATATTCTTTTCTCAAATACCCCCATTAGATCTCATGTATCAGTAATTCTTCTAATAGAAGCTGCAGTTTCTCCACAAGAAATAGAGTGATCGTGAGGGTTGCCAGCTAAGCAACTCCTAACGTTGCTTTTCAACAGTGAGAAATAAACCTACTTTCAAAAGGTTGCTCTTTATTTTCAAATTAAGTCTGTTTTAAATTTCCCAAATGAGACTTTTGGAGTTTTGTTAGAAGACAAAGGTTTCTGCCAGTAAGTCTAGTCCTGCTGCTGCCGCTGTTGTAATTTTACCAAGATTTAGCTCGGCTGCTTGACTTTCAGGGCACAGACATTCAACAGAGTTACGTGGGGTGGCAAGTGGGCATATTAGGCCTGTGGTGTTGCAGCTGGCTTTGTGTACGTGTTTCGCTGGCCCCACTTGTGAGGAATTCTACTGTCCTGTGAATCTCAAGGAAAAAGATTT